ATTGCTGCTGCGGCAATAGGACAGAAAAATGAAAAGGCTCCGACAAAGAGATTTGCGAAAAGGAAAAATTAGAAAACTAAAATTGTCGCTTTTTCAACATTTTTTGTACGCCTAGAGATCTTAAATTATGAGATCCTCTGATTCTTTGCATATTGAACAGCTGAATGTTTTTGCAAAAACTGTTAACAGAGTTCCCGCACTCACATTTGCATCATTCTTTCAGAGGAAAATTATTGAAAAAGTTATGGCCATGATATCACTGCAAAGACTACCCAGGTGTCGAGTTGTCGAATCTCAGTCATCTCAGACACACACACAATGAGGTGTCGACATCTCAGTCTAAATGATTTCAAACCATGTTTAAGTGTGCGCAATGTAATTTCTATCATATACAGTAGCAAAATTTTAGAAGAAACGATGTCACACGCTTGAATTCTGGCTAGATAAGCAAATGCAATAAAATTCTGCTTCTAAGTGCGATTATTTAGAAATTTGTAAGGCAAATTGAGCTAAAAGCCTACCATCGTTAAATAGAGCCTAAAAGGAACTTCTAAGAATTTGTTAGATCATTTGGGATAAGGGAGATCTATGAGAAAAACCTTTCCGGAAAAAAACTTCAGAAGAATGTGCAAGCCTAAAAAGAGCTTTTCAATGATTTGTTAGGTCTTTTGGGATGAGGGATATTTATGAAAAAAAAGTTTTCCAGAGAAAAACATTAGAAAAACTTGCATTTTGCACCAACCTAATAAAATAAACTCAAAAATTGGCAAAAAACACAACTCAACGTCAATCAAACCTTCTGAGCTAAACATTGAAGCATAATCTTCATGATAATTCCAACGAGTTACGCTTAACCTCTCATAGCTCTTCTTGAGCAGTTTAGAAAATAAGAAAGGCAGATTTAAATCCAGCGTTCAAGGCAACCTTTTGTTATATACATCTTTACATCTACTTGGTGCAACTCAGTATCTCCTTATTGTGATAACATTGGTCGTGTGAATTTATATGCAGTCTTGCGTATCTAGACAAGCACAATCCTCGGTGAATTAAGATTTTCTTACTGCAGTGGAAATACAGAAATCGAATTGGTTGTACTCATGTATGTATTAGGTTGTCCGGAAATTAATGCAGGTTTTTTACGCGGTCGCGGCAGTGTCAATATGATATTGTGGGAAGCATATTATTCGAGCAAAGGAACTCCTACTGTATCAGTGCGATCGCAAAATTTGATCTACGTGTGGTTTGAAATCAAAATCCAAAAAACTTACTAAATGCCCAAAAGTCACATCTCCGTCTAAAAGCTCTTCGGAGCTTTACCGTCGCGCATTTCTCTACACCAAAGATTTGCATGCACACTTACCACATTCTTACAATGGCTGAAAACTGAAAACTTGAAATTAAAAAAGCGAAAATAGCGCCTTTTTCGGGCTTTTTATGCTAATTTCGATATTTCTCAGAAACTAATTCGTGGAGGAAGCTGAAAATCTATGGTTTTGTTTCTAAAGGTTTGTGATACAGAACTATTTATTCGTATAGTAGAAGTACTTCTGTGCCAAACAGGTTTGTTAAATAAAGGATAAAGGATAAAGGATTCGGCGTCTTCAATACCGTCTGAGGGCATGCGCCGAACGCACACACTAATTTCATAGTCGAAGAGGCAATTGTATGCGTGCGGGCCTATTACAATGACTTGCGGGGGCCAGCTTTCCAAGTCAGTGCTTTTATCCTCCCAGATTACTCTGGTACCAATTTACCGGCCCCGGAGGGTAGAGGGCTTGGTTGGCCCAGGGGCGGGGATCGAACCTGTGTCCGATCTGGTCATAGCGGCGCCTCATACCACTACGCCACTCGTCCCCTAACAGGTTTGTTAGGTGTTCTTTTATTTCCAATCACGGCCTAACGTTTCGACGCCTTTCGTCTTCCTCAGAGGCCTGAAAATGGCTCAAAGTGTTACCCGAGAAACGAGGCCATCAAGCACCATCTCCATTCCTGCCAGTTCTCAACCTTCGTTCAACATTCCTACCGCAAAAATTGCTATGCCAGAAGATGAACATACCCTGTGAACACCGCTACTTGGGGGGTGCGGAACCCAGCATTGCATTTATTAGGGTATGCCAACATTCACTTTCTCTTTTCTAATCGTGGAAAAAAATCGCAGTTGTACATGTGAACGTTTGATGGACGATATATGCCTGATCAGTCCGGCACTGGTGGCTCAAGGGGCAAGCTGGATATCATTTTTTTGGGGGGGGGGGAAGGGGGAGATTAGAAGCAAAGGGATATCTGTTTTGAGGGGCTCGGAGTGGACGCCGAAAAAATATCCGTATTAGCCTAACCTAGCTAGTATGGTGTATAGAAATCGCCATTGCAAATTATCCCTGAAGTGACTTCGAAAACCTACTAAGAATAATAACCCTAATATGAGACCAGCGGAATACATTGCGAAAGCGAAGCACCGATGGGCGGTACCATAATGAGATGAACATACGACAGAAGAATCTTAAAAACATCGGAGTAGATTCCACGCGAAGCAAAACGTCCTCGAGGAAGAACTCCAGCGAGGTGAGCAGACGTGTTCGTGGGACGCATGGATCAGCTGAAAAATCAGCTGGATACGTTTTTCTCCCCTGGAACTCGTGGACGCAGCCACCGACGACGACCAAGAAGATCGTAGATGCTGAAGAGGGACAGGGAGAAATTGGAACTTCTGTGCTGGAGCTCGCACGTCACGTAAAGCAGAGCCATCTAAGTATCTGAGTAAGTAGTGATGAGAAAAAATGTTTTGAATCATAATTTCGGACTGTAACCAAACCGCCAAAGAAAGATAGAAGGGTTGTGTAAAGACGCAATAGTGATTTGCATATTCATAAATTCAAACCTTGTCTAATTTTGAATTTTGAACTTTAAACTTTTTGAGATTTTCTTACTTGAGCATTGAAAATCTGTCAGTTTTGCGCCACTTGAGTAGGAAATACTTTTGATTATCACACTGTGAAGTTTCTAACACTCAGAGAAAACTCGATATAGACATTGGAATCCTCTCGTAGAACATTGAACTTGAAGTTTTTCAAATGTCGATACTGACTTTGATCCTCAGTAATAATCCAATTATTACATTTTGCGAAAAATAGAGACAGAACAGAGAGGCAGCGTTGCTTCCTATCATATAGGTGTATATCGAATGAAAAATTGCGTCCTTCAGTGCTGATTTCAAATCTGTCTTCTACAGGTTGGGGCAAAAGTCTGGAAGCCTAGTAATTTTCCAGATAAAATCAGAAGGAAACTATCTAAGAACAGAAAATTTGCACACACGGTGCACACATGAACCGAACCTTTACAAATATAGCGCAGCTCTCAAATTTGGAAATTGGCTTTTTTGGTTTCAAAGCAATTCTCTACAATCCTGGCAAGTCTGCCTGTCGTGGCATGCAGACAGTCGAAATGGAATTCGTCCCATGCTATCATGATAACTGTTTCTTTCACTAGGCAAATGTGCAGTATGATAGAGCAAACTTTTGGGTACAACATATTTTACGAAAATTTTTTGCGAATTTAAGAAAAAATTTGGAAATTCAGGTGAAAGCAAGTGTAATCGCATACTGGAAATTTGGATGAGATTGCGCGAACGTGAGCGAAAAATCACAATCTAAAAAGTATGAATTTGCTCCATTGATCAAATTCAAATGGATGCTTATATAGAAGACTCATAGAGAGAATATTGTCTAATACTCGGCACTTGCTGCGCTCCTATAGCTTTAGAATTTTAATTTAGAGACTAATTGCCACTAACACGCAGGTAATGTTCGCAAATTCTTATTTTGCGTTTTCGAAAGAATAGTTTCTGGTAAACGCAACTACTACTATGCGGTAGTGTAAAACCTCCTCTACATTGTATGCATCAAATTACTGCAAAATGTTCACAGTATCTTTAGCTGCAAAATAAATTGTGAATGCTAAAAATTATGATTTTGTCGCTTTGCAGAAGCACTCGCTTGATAAAACCAATTCTTACAAATAAAAATGGCAAGCATTTTCAGCTACGTAAAGTATAGTTTGTAGAAGATGATCGCAGTACGTACTATGTGACACAAATTTGGGATTGAAGTTATCAGTAGTTTCTTGATTTACAATACTGTAAACTCGGCTCCCAGACTTTTGCCCCACCCTGTACATCTTTCGAGAGATTAGAAGAGCAGAATTTCGAAGATTTGTTTCCACATGGATATCCTTGCCCAGTCTAGATCTTTGCCAATTTTTCTTCACAGCGCTCACGCTCTTAATTATCTTTTGCGGTTTACAGGCGGCAGGCCTTTGGTTTCTCCTGCACCTCACCTAGTAGCAGTTCAGTGAAATGTTTGAATCTACTACTGAAGGCTATTAGAGTCACGATGGCAAGACAAGCACTAGGGAATCCTTCTGTGTCTCTTCCGCGCGGGTGAGGGGTTGAAAAAACAAACATCAGAAACTTTTGGTGCATCAGGGAATTGTCGCTACATTCTGAAAATGCGTAGAGAATAAATTTCTTGTATTTTTTTTCAAAGGTTTAAACGCAGTTTTGAGGAGGTCAAAAATGCTATAGATGATTTGTTACTACTTTTACTTGACTTCTGACTGCGAGAATAATGTCTTTTTGTAATATATGCGTTAGGAAATACGCGTTTGCGGGACTTTCAAAGCAAAGATCGAGTTTGTGCCAAATCTGAGTGTTTTCGAATTTTTATACTTCATACTGTACAAATTGAGCTTGTAAGCGTTTGTGATCATTTTTTAGATCTTGCCCTGGTTATCGAAGAATATCACCTGGACCTTTGACAAAATAAAATAAGTTTTTTCCTCATACAGTACGCAGCATTGCAAAAAAAGCCAATTTACATTATCACACAGAAACTATAAAATATCCACTCGCGCCAAAAGTTCTTGAACTTCAACTGACTTCAATTTTTCAAGCATGTACGAACTCAAAAGTTACAGCTCAAACCACTGACACACCGCTCGCCTTCATGCTGGATTTGCACTCTTTCCTCCTAGCTGTCGCAGCGGTGGGTGGGGCAACAAGTGATGGATGGGTGAAGTGGAACAATGGATATGAGTATAAGGTAGGTCGAAAAATTGCGAGTCATAGACGAACTCCTCAAACAAATCTTGTTCAAACGTTATTAGCAAATTTTGGAGCTTCATTTTATCACCCAAAAAAAGAAAGATGTAAAGTCAGAAGCTTAATCAACTGCCGGCTACCATGCTATCAAAGGCAGCTAATTGTCATCGAATATAATAATTTACTAGCAACATTCAAAGTAGGATTTAATCTATGGAAACAATTTGTTTCAGGCCATCAAAGATTTATATATCTTCTTCGAAGCCGAACTGAATTGTAGTAGAATGAACGGCCACCTGGCGTCGATTCATAGTCAGGAGGAAAATGACTTTGTGCTTAGTAAGTGTCTTTCTAAATTGAAGCAGAGACTAACTTGCGCATCGATACAGGTGGACCGCTTTTACGTCGAAATTAACTTAAAGGCAGTGTCCGGGCTCCTAGAAAACTCGATTCTTAGAAAATCCACTTATCGGGGATTATCCGCATTGCTATCCGAAAATCCACATTAGAAGGCGCGAAAATGGCAGCCGCATTTCCCAAAGCCTTACATTCTGCAATACGACGGTCCCCGCCAAAGCTGAGGCGCAAAGTCGCTCGGGACCTTACAACTTTGTAACGACATGCGTACTCTGCCGGTTAGCAGGAACTCAGACAAGTCGGGGAACCCCGCCCCAAGGCCTAAGTTTCCCCACTTCCCGACCGTTTTTTCTTGCTTTAGGCCCCCGCCAGAGTGCCGAAGCCACGCCAGCGCTACGCCGGCGCCGAGCCAGCGCTTCGATCGATACACGTGTATTTCGTTGGGACCGGGCTAGCTGACCTTCTTCAGCCAGGTAAATGCAATGACTACTGATCTCGCCGCTGGCTCGGCGCCGGCGCAGCGCTGGCGTGGCTTCGGCACTCTGGCGGGAGCCTTAGGTTGGATCTTTATCCCCCTCGCACGATGCTGTGTCTCTGGGAGGCCACTTTCGCATGGCACCGAAATCCCAAAACCCCCACCTTGTCCGGACAATGCGTTTAAGAACCGTTTCTCACAGCCTGTCATAAACTGTCCCGAACAGCAGATATATTATCTTTGATCTGCGTCTCATGTTTTTCCTTACAGTGTTTTCACCAAGAATACACCACAGTGTACAACAAAGCACATGTCCCCTAATCAGGTGTGGCTGTGAGCAATATTTGGATAGCATAAGGCCTGAGGCATACCTCACGCGATTTCGTCAAATCGCTGCATCCAAGCGACCTGGCGGTTTGCCAGATGTTTACAAAGCAACCGTGCGCGAGTCTAAATTGCATAGGCGCGTACCTTCCGTAAGTTGCACCAAAAGCTTCAAGTCTGACCTATGCAAAGCGCGCTTGCGAGCAGTTATGAAGATTCGGTGAAGTGCCAAATCGCGCAGCGACTGGAATCGCGTGAGGTATGCCTTAGTGCTAAAGTTACGACTTTCTAAAGAAAACGATTTTCAAAGCGTTAGTTATACAGTTAATAGGTATACATATGGCCCCCAGTTTATAAGCTGCTGCACGATGAAGGCGCAACACCTTTGCACGCGAACGCGGCTTTACTGGCCGCAAAGCGCATGAGACGCGGGTATTTACAGTGGTGAAGATACGCGCGCAGCATTCGCGTTCGCTCAACTAACACAAAACTTAATTCATGTCTTCTTGCTAATTAACCACTATAATAGTAACCTCTTTCTAATTACAGTCCTTTGTTTCAGTGTAAAACCCTTTGATATTTTTTCTCCACATTTTATTACATCTCCAGACTATTATTTGATAGCTCTATCCTACTTTCATCGCAGGAAATGCGGACTATTTCGCCGTGGTCATCTTCCCCTCAAATCGACCTCATGGGCTTGTGTGGCTCATGTGTAGCTCAGCCGAAAAGACTCACGGCTTTCGATTAGGTTGATGCAATGGTCGTTTTGCAAATTCTCACTTTGACGCTATAACTTTCTGAAAAATTAACGTTTCTGAATACGGCAAAGATCATCAGAAGCAGTAAACTTTTCGCAATACAGTGCGCTACTGTTCTACTCACATCACAAACGGGCAGAAAAATACGGAGTAAAAAAAAAGGTTTTTTAAAACCTTGTTTATGACAATTCATAACTTCCTATGAAGTATGTTAGTATGAACGATAAATTAGCCTATCGTGTAGCCGCAAGCCAGCAGTACGAAATATCATGGGAAGGCTTTGAAGAAAAAAATTGCGAAAAGGGAAAAAAACAAAATTCAAAATTATTAGTTGTTTCACATTTTTTTACTATGCCTCAAAATCCCGAATATAGAGTTTGCCGATTTTCTGCGTACTGAACAGTTTTATATGTTTTTGCAAAAATTGCAAATAGGATGTACTAGCATAACGCTTACACAGTTGAGCAAAGCTTCGGCGATTGACTTCTTCAAAAGAAATTTATCATAAAATGACCGCAGCGGCTACCCATGTTGAGGCGCCGTATCAGTCTGGATAACTCCATGAAGATACAGTCACGTATGCGTAATGTAGACAATTTCTATTGAATAAAATAACTGATAAATTCTGGCCAGAAAAGTGAATGCAATAAAATTCTGAATTTGGATGCGGTCACTTGAAACTCAACTTCATAATAGATGAATGTGGAATCTCGCCTCAAACACCATTAAATAGAGCACGAGGACAGCTTCTCAGTGGTATGTTAAGTATTAGGTTGTCAAGAAAATAATGTCCGTTTTTATTTGCTTGCTTTAACAAAGTAACCAGACTCAACTCAACAAAGAGTAAGGGGTACTGTTCGATAGAGCAAAGCAAGCTCTACAAGATGGCACTCATGTATTTGCGCCATGCTCGATCCACGGAGAGTTCGAACTCAAAATCTAAAGATTTCCGAATGCTCAAAAAATCGAAAAAAATCAGATCTTTGTCCAAATAATTTCTACGGACCTCCCACTCGCTCACATCAATACTATCGATATCTCATATCCATATGTGCGATTGCCGTATTTTTTCCTTGACTAGAAACTGAGAAAACGAAAATTTCCCTGATTTTCTCAAAGCAATGCTGAGCCGATTTTGCATATGTAGTTCTATACTACAAGCCTAGGTAAGTATAACTGTAGATTTTCAGCCCACTCCAAGCGGTAGTTTTCGAAAAATAACGAATTCGGATTTTTTCGTTTCAGTTTCAGTGCTTAAATCGACATTTTTCGAAAAGTACCGCTCGAAATAGGCTGAAAATCTACAGTTATGCTTACCTAGGCTTGTAGTATAGAACTACATATGCAAAAACGGCTCAGCATTGCTTGGAGAAAATCAGGGAAATTTTCGTTTTCTCAGTTTCTAGTCAAGGAAGAAATACGGCAATCGCACATATGGATATGAGATATCGATAGTATTGATGTGAGCGAGTGGGAGGTCCGTAGAAATTATTTGGACGAAGATCTGATTTTTTTCGATTTTTTGGGCATTCGGAAATCTTTAGATTTTGAGTTCGAGGATCGAGCATGGCGCAAATACATGAGTGCCATCTTGTAGAGCTTGCTTTGCTCTATCGAACAGTACCCCTTACTCTTTGTTGAGTTGAGTCTGGTTGCTTTGTTAAAGCAAGCAAATAAAAACGGACATTATTTTCTTGACAACCTAATACATTTTAAAGAAGAAATTTGAATGGAAAAAAGCTGCCCTGAAAAAGGGGTTGAGAAATCGGCCATTGTTTCTGCATCAACCTAATAGTTTGTCATTTGATAGACCTTCACAACACGATGTAGCAGTAAACAGTAAAATAATAAGCTCGAAGCATACTATATCTTTGAGTGCACCACCATACCTACTACATACTCAGGGCGAGGAAGGCCTAAAAGCTTGACAAATTTTACATGACTTGGTAACTAGGCATCGTAAGGCCTAATTACCAAGTCAGCTTGAATTCCAGACTACGTACCTATTTCTCAACGAATGATTTACCTACGGCAAAGAACGAATCTCAAAGGAGCGGCTCGGCAAAATGGCGCTTGCTAGCTTATAATGGTATTGGGTAGCAGACCTCCCATTTAGTACACCGTAGCCCCAACCCAACTTCCATACGGCAACTCCTGAAGAACGCCCAAACCCCACCTGCCCCACCCATTTCATTGAGTGGGCGTCAATGGTGGATGTAGCGAGATCTCACGACTTAACGAAATGGCAGAGGGAATTTGGGCTACAGGATAATTAGGAGGTCTGCTATTTACTTAACACCATCAAAATCTGACAGGGGTCCATTTTGCTGAGAAACTGCCTTTAAAGGCAGTGTCCCGGCGGATTCGAGCCCTGGAGGATACAGCTGTGTTGGGGTTCCTGGTCATCCCAGTAACCTCCAAGCTCAGTCCGGTTGGTTGATGTTCCCCCTGCGCAGAAAAAATAGCGCTCGAACCGGCGCGCAACCCCGATAGGTGTGCGCTTGGACGACTTTGCTTACCTGTTTCCCGCACTGTCGCATGCGATCCATGCAAAAAGCGACAGGGTCTTTGTGCCGGAGCCTCTCAACTTTTTTTGGAACTCTCATCCGAGCTGAATTCTTTAAAATAGAGTAAACGCCTCAAAGACGGTCTTTCAGCCCAGTTTGAAGCTCTAATTCGGATTCTACGGTCGAAAAGGCCTGAAACATACAGAAAGGTGGAAATGCAAAATCTGCAGGGGCACTGCCTTTACGCCCAGAGTTCACAGCTGCGACACGTTTTTCATCGTCATACCCTGCGTAGTAAACACCCAATCTTATTTTTCAGATCTCACATCTTCCATCAGCGGTGACGAAAACATTTTCATAGAAAATGCGTGGATAGGTCTGTACGAGGTTGGCAATCGCATTTGGCAATGGACCGACGGCAGCCCACTTGACTACGAACACTGGGATATCGGCGAACCCAACTATTACCAAAGCAATGAATATTGTGCTTTTGTGAGTTCTCCTATGTCAAAATGTTCTCTCCTTAGAAAGTAAAATATGTTCGTTGAATACAAACATACCCAAGTGAGGATTTTCTGACTCTGTAGTCTCACGGCTTCGCATGATGTTGTAATTCACAAAATGGAGCCCCGATCAGTAATTCACAAATTCATCAAATATTTTCTGCTTTTCCAACTCAAGCAATATTTTACCTGTTGCATCGCTGTCATTATCAGTCAATCTTTATGCACACTATTTCAGATGTACCGACAGGGTAGCCGAAAAAGGGGAAACTGGTCTGACTACAATTGCCATGAACAACTTTGGTGGTACGTATGCAAGCGCCCTCAAAATAGTAGTCGCATTCGCTGTTATGTAAAATAGATTATTCAAATTTATTAAATATTAACTTTATTTTAATTAACTAATTTGATCTATTAAGTTGAGTACCTCAATAAAGGTGTTATTAAATAAAAATGAACAAACGTTGAGTGATGATGATTTAGCGCTGACTGATAAAAACACAAGCATGTGACTTTGAAGGTGAATTTCTTATCTTGGTATTTAGAACCGACAGGAGATTTTGCTTCATGTTGGAACTCAAACAAACATCACCACATAAATTGAGACTAAACGATGATTCTCCTCGATCACTGCTTTTCTCACTCAAAGGTAGACATTTGTGCGTACTGTTCTAAGGTTAGCTCGATCATTGGAAACTTGAGATCCTAGTACCAAGACTCGTGTTATCCAAGCATGTTTACTCAATCAGATTTTCAATTTTGATTATATGTATAATACTGGCGCTACAGATGTGCTCGGCCAATATGTAAGTACCAGTGGCGTACCCAGGATTTCCGCTCGGAGGGGAAGGGGAAGGGGGGGGGAGAATTGGGGGAGGAGGGGGGGGGGGGGTGGGGACAAAATTTTTTTGATGTATTTAGGTACGCACTGTTGCGCACTCCAAGATTTTTTTTGCTATGCTTCCTGAAATTTTTGCGGGCCCATAACCCCAATTTTCAGAAAAAAGGGGCCCCGAAAAAAGTTTTTTTTAATAAGGTTACAAATATTGAATTGTTGAAGATTTTTCAAAATTATATCAAATGTCTTTACAATTATGAACAAGTTGCTTGCACTTTTTTATAACTCATACAACCAACTTTCAAGAATTCGCGTTCCATTCTCGGGGAGGAGGGGGGGGGGGGGGCTCGATACGCCACTGGTAAGTACACGTAGGTACCGAAATGGTTCTTCAACTAATATTCAAGTCAACTTCTAAGAGTTCCGTGATAGCATTACAAGGTGAAATTTTCAATCCTGGGTGCTTCTGCAATCTGCGTTTTGATTGACTGTCTTGTGCAAAAGCGACTTCTCCTATGTTGAAAAAAGCGAATTATTCTACAAATTTCAATGACATTCAACTCCTCGTCCCTTTCAGCGTATATCGTGTGTTTGTATACGCACACCATTCTTACTCATTCTAACTTTCGGAAATCTTATCTTTTTTGAATACCATGCGACATTGAGGTAATTCTCTGTTTTGAAATTTCGATCATGTAAACGAATGCTTTATTTCGTCCAGTGCATGCATTTTTTTGTTGTTGAAAAGACCTTAACTTCCCTCTAAACAATTTTGCAATTAGACTGCTTTATTAGGTTTCGAGATTTTATGCTTACCCGGGCATATTCGCTATGCTGTCTGAAAATCCGCGCTGGAGGGCCCGAAAACGGCGAAAAAGAGCTCGAACGCAGAAGAGAAATCAGCAGGTGGGAGGGGTCCTCCCTTAAGCAAATCTACGCTCCCATCTTCAGGAGCGATCTTCTCACTTCGGCTAGCAGCCTTAACATCGCCACTGGCCGAATGCGAATGCGTGACTTGAGATCGGAACCGAGAAGATTGCTCCAATAGCTGAGAGCGTGAATTCGCATTGGAGAAGCCGCGCCCACCTGCTGATTGCCTCCCTCGTTAGAGCCCTTTTTCGTCGTTTTCGCGCTCTGCAGTGTGAATTTTCGGATTCAGCATAGCGAATAGATTCGGGTAAGCACAAAATCTCAATATCGTCTCTTGCCCAGACACTACCTTCAAGGGTGGGTAGGCTGCGTGATATCCACATACCTGGAGCTTCAGAATATGAAGCTTGCTTTAATGTTGCGATCCCCTTACCAGCGAGAATAGTGCATGTGTCCCAAAGTGGGATTCCAGCCGCGGAACGTTTTCGAGGAGGCGATTATGAAGTTAGTCTAATGACTTCGTCTCCAACTTGCCTCAAAAAAAAAAGATTTACAAACTCAAAAAATCTTTTGGCTTTGTTAAAATGAGAGCGCTTCGAATGAGCAGGTATTGGATGGAAGAAAAGTGCCCAAACGTTTAGGTTAAAGCTTTATTTCTTGTCTTTACCTTTGTCTCTATCTGAAATCTATATTACCCTGTTATCATTATTGGCTTTATGTCTGACCAATCCCAATACGTCGCTAGATTTCTGGGAAAACAATTTTTTTCATGTGTGAAGGGGCTTGCGCTAGGTAAGTTTGGTTTTGCTGGAAGAAAATACGATTAGTTTGTTTCGCCTGTTATTCTTATGTTTTTCAAGAAAGGCCCGATTCAAAGTCAAATATGGCAATGTGGGCGGATAAAGATAGTTTTCGAGAGGAAAGATTTCTATTCACAGAAAGTCAAACAGGTCACGTTTTTTAAGTTTTGACTCAAGACTGCCTTCGAGCCCAGCTCTGCCAAACTTCTTGGATAAAGTAGTAGTTGTGGAGGAAGAACTCTTGATGGATATGCTCATTGTCAGGTCATACAGGGGAAAAAATCAACCCCTCAATACGAGTCCTTGTTTCAGGGTGTATCCCATTACTTGTGAGTGTCAATCGCGCAGGCGCCGCGGGTATCATCGTATCGCAGGTAACAATCATGAAAACTTTCAGTCTTTTATATAACCACGTACTTCACTCATCTTGTCAACATATCTACCTTATAAGGGATATTAAAATGATTTTCTAAAATGTCAAAGTGTCAAGTAAGGACGAATTCAGAAAGCGATGCTTTTCAAGGAAACATTATTTCAGAAATTTCCTTGCTTTGTACATACTAGGTGAGTCAAAATTAACAAGGACTACTTTCACTTTCAACCTTTCCCCAGATATAATAGAATAATGAACAGGTACAATGAAATTTGGGGCGCAGCTTTTCCCTTTCGTGACTATGTTATCGCGGTGATTTTTCTCTTAACAGCTAAAATTTTTTGATGATTTGAACTCATCGTTTTCGCCTTTCTGTTCTCAAAGCTCTCCAAATTTTGAAGAAAGTTGAATCACATAAAAATAAATCCGCTTTCGAATGCAAAGTTTTCATAGATCTTCTCAAAGTGACTTTAAGGGGTATTTGAATAATACTAGGTTGACCCGAAAATTCGTTCGCACCATTTTGAGAAAAATCGTAACTTTCGTTTCTTACGATAATCCTGCGCGAGAAAAATAGTGCTAGGAAGAGCCAGGCGTATACCTAAAGGCACCTTGCTTGCCTTTTATTGGCTTTGATTGCAGAGATAAAATTGAGCAAGGAAAATCGCTTCGATTTCGGAATTTTGAGGCAAGCCTTAAAAATTCCAAAATTGTGCCATAAAATCCAAAACAGGCAGTTTCCTAGGTTCTTTGATCCCCTCTTTTTAGCTGAGCAAAACTGCGCTAATAGAGAGTTTTTTGGAAAAGTTATGATTTTTTGGAAAATAATGTCAAAAATCAATTTTCTCAAGAAACTGATATTGGCATTTTTTCCACAAAAACAACTTTCTTTAAAAGAGCTCGATCAGCGCAGATTTTGCTCAGCTAGAAAGAGGAGGTACGTAGCAAGTGGTACCTAGGCAGCCGACTGCTGCCGCAGCCAGCCGCCAGAGCGGGCGTCAGCACCGCCGTATATGAATAATTACGCTAGCCGTCTGAAATCTCTTGCCGAGAGGCCTCGCACATCGTCGCGCTGAGATGCGATATCACCCTCGGGGCAGCGCTATTATCGATATTTATGTCATTTAGACAGCAAAAAGTCTACGTTGCACTGATAAAAAACAAATGTACGAATGAGTACAGAGTAGTGCTTTCCTAAAGGAAAACGGTTATGAAATTCAATTTCTGTTATTAAAATATTTTCCTGAGAATCAAAATCGGAGAAGAACGTACGTGAGACGACGAAAAAATTAAAAGTTAAAAGAAGAAAGAAAAAGAAAGAAAGGAGAAAAAATCAAAGAAAAAAGTTAAAATTAGCATTTCAAGGCTTAATGATGATAAGCGAGCTGAGTAAGCTAAGGTAGTCAAATAAATGAGCCAACGTAGGTCAAAAATTCAGTGCTCACTTAAGAAGTGAAAATGTGTCAAATTTGCTGATATAGCAGAGAACAGCGTAGATCATCAAGAACTTATTGTTTTGTAAAGAAAGTACCCCGGCAGTTTTGTAAATTTCATTTTCAAAATCATTTTTCCGCATTCGGTCAAGCCTTACAATATTTTCTTTGCAATGTTGTGTGCAAACTTGTTCATTTGCTTTTTATCAGTTGAATATGGAATTTTTGCTGTTCAAAATGATATAAATGTCGACAATAGCGCTGTCCCTGAGGCTGATATCGCACCTCAGCGCGACGAGGTGCGAGGAAACCTCTAGGCAGGAGATTTCAGACGGCTAGCGTAATTATTTTATCATATACGGCGGCGCTGATGCCAGCTCTAGAACTTTCGGGTCAACTTAATACTTCCGAAAAAAGTTCTCATTACTTTTAACTCAGTTTATGGAATGAACTTCTTTGAGCTAATTTTTTGCCTAGACTCCATCGAAAAGGAAAGTGTGGGAATGTGAGATCTTGCTGGAGAAGAAGAAGAAGCTCTTCTTGGAAATCGAGAGACTCTCCCGCACCTAATCATGAAAGTTTTTGAGACATGCTTTGAGTCCTAATTTGTTGAAATTCTCTCAAAATCGCTGTTTCGTTTTACACAGAGATACTTATAGTTAATATAGTTAACCGCATGCAATTGACCGGATCGAACGCCCGCGTGCGTGTCTCTTG